GACTGAGTAGACATGTTTGGAAAGGAGTGAATAAAAACGTTTACAGAAGAGAGGACTGAGTAGACATGTTTGGAAAGGAGTGAATAAAAACGTTTACAGAAGAGAGGACTGAGTAGACATGTTTGGAAAGGAGTGAATAAAAACGTTTACAGAAGAGAGGACTGAGTAGACATGTTTGGAAAGGAGTGAATAAAAACGTTTACTAAAGAGAGGACTGAGTAGACATGTTTGGAAAGGAGTGAATAAAAACGTTTATAGAAGAAAAGACTGAGTAAACATGTTCGGAAAACATAGGAAAAAGTAAATATGTTTGGAGAAGATAGGAGTGAGTAAATTTTATATGTTTGAATGTAGGTTAATAGATCTGTTTAAAGATAATAAACCTGAAATACTTTACATTATACAACACCAAGTTTTAGTTGGTGAGGTAAATATGAGGTTTAATTCGTGCCGATGTATGGTTTGTTTGTAGTTATGTCACTCGGGAGCTATACCGATATATATAAACAAGATTTTCAAGTAAGGCAGAATTGAAGAAAATAGGTGAACTGGAAAACAGTACCAGTGAGATTATTTTAAACGTTTTAAAAATTGCTAAAAGTTAACTAGGCCTTTTGTTCTAAATGGAAAAAAAAAACTTGACAGATTTAACGATGTATAATAGAAGTTGTGTACGTATGTTTGTTTTAGAATTTTGCGTAAAGGTTATCTACGAATAGCCACCCTTAATTTTAAACTGATAAGAGGGGTAGCTAGTCAACAGCACCCACTGCTAAATCTTGGGCTACTATTGTCTTGGCGATCCCCCGGTGGGTCAGCAATAAGTTTACGAACTTACACAGTGGACAGAGCTCAGACAGACCATTGTGCAGCTTTGCGCTATAAAGACATTCTTGTCTCGTCCAAAATAGTGGAATTTGGTCACCACTCTTCAAGTGCATTTCCAGTCCCAAAATAGAGAGCACGATTATTAGACTGCGGGACGCGAACTGATTAATCTCGGATTCACAGTCTGTTTACTTTAGCCACTCTCCCTCACTTTAATCCAACTCACGCGCAAGCCATCTTCGTCAACTTCTTTATGATTGCACTGCTCACCTCCGTAGAATAAGGAAGGGTCTAGAAAAAGGTGCTCTAAAAATTGACTCCCTCACACCAACCTGGTCAGCTTACGGCGGCTCTTGTCTTGCCCTCGTTGCGCCAGACATTTCCAAGCTAGGATCGGGCTAATCAGTCACCTTCGAACACACAAAATCAATGGATGATGATGAAGATGGGGGTCTTCAATCATGAATGGCGAACCATACACTTTAGCCACCAGGCTACGCCCGGCCCAGTAAAGTTTGCTTTAAGTGCCCAAAAAACGGCGAATGACTGATTTATCAATCTGAACAGTGTAACTTTAATCAGATTGATATTGAGTATAAATGACAGTCAACACATTATTACTGTTTAGCAGAAAGATTAATAGTTGTCGTCGTTTGAAGTTAAGCACAAAGCTACACAATGGGCTATCTGTGCTCTGCCCACCACGGATATCGAAACCCGGTTTCTAGCGTTGTAAGTCCTCAGACATACCGCTTTGCTGCTGGGGGAGGCAAGATTAATAGCAGAAAGATATAGAAAGTAAAACATAAATATGAAAAAGATAAGGTATATTTAGACACACAAATTGTCCCCCGATGGATCAGCAATAAGTTTACGGACTTGTAGCGCTAAAATTCGAGGTTCGATTCTCCTTGGTGGAGAGAGTGCAGCTAGTCCATTGTGTAGCTTTGGACTTAAAAAGCCACAACAACGACACACGAGTTATTCTAGTCTTAGTAAATATTAAAATATCAACAATGTTAAGTGCAACAACTAATAAAAGTGATTTAACCTCTGACCAGATACTCGTTTTGGTTACTTGGGTATGAACTATACAACTTTTAGAATAGAATTGATAGAAGCTAGGTTAATAAGTTTGCTTGACCATCAGCTGGTACAAGCTATGGAAATACGTTTACTTGGTCGTTGAATGACAGAAGTCATGGTGTACTTCTATTTGAGAATAAATTGAAAGGAAAAAGAGGAAAATCGAGTTACATCGGAGTTATTGAATCATAGTATGTCGGCTGACTTGAGAGCAATGAAAGTAGGCTTACTTCAACATGAGGTAAATAAGTTTACATGGTGAGGAACTCATGAATAAATGCTGTTGGGTGTAATTAGTCGAGATTTGACAAAAGCAACTTTAGAATGAATTGACACGAGTGAGATAAATAGGTTTGTCTGGCTGTGAACTGTTAGAGGCAAGTTTAGGTTTTTGCTTAATGATGATAGAAATGTGTGTTTCTTGAACCATTAATTGAGAGATTTCTTAAGAGGTTAGCTGTTAGATTTCTTAAAAAATTAACTGCTACGTTTCTTAAAAGGTTAACTGTTAAGTTTCTTGAGAGGTTGACTGTTAAATTTCTTGAGATGTTAACTGTTAGATTTTTTGAGAGGTTAACTGTTAGATTTCTTGAGAGGTTAACTGTTAGATTTCTTAAGAGGTTAACTGCTAGATTTCTTCCAATATGAATTGAGGCAAATATAGTTGAAAATAAAAGAGGAAAAGCCCAGACTTACTTGGTAAACATAAGCGAGATAGATAACAGAAGAGATGTAATTTGGTTTACTTGGGAAACCTTGCACATAGTGTTCCCTCAAAGAAATCAAACGTCGCTATGATTCGATGAAGCAGCTTGTCCAACAAATTGAAGAAAAGGCTTTATTGAAGCGATTTAAGTAGATTCACTTAGGAGTTAATTAATAGAAGCGGTAAAAAACAGTTGATAGTAGTAAGTTTTCTTTGTAATAATAGATCTGTAATATGCAGTCTTATTCGTTTAGTACCACAGTAGTTTGAGAGCAATCTTTAAACATTTATCCAAACAAATGGTTTGTTATCATATAATCGGGTCACCGATCATACTCGCCATTTCAGTCGTGGGTGGATAAAAATGGGATGGTCAATATGCTTATCGTTGGTAAAGAGTGGCCCGAGAGTTGGCGGTGGGTGATGCTGACTAGCTGCCTTCTCTCTAGAAACGTCCAAACAGATAGCCCTCGATCATCTCTGCACGAAATTCAACAACCAAAAAACAACAAATAATCTATTATATCAATATCAATTCAATGTTTGTGAAAAAAAATATCTTTTAAATACACGAGTAAAATACACTAAAAATTATCATATTTATAAAAATCAATATCAATTATCAGTAGTTTCCTCATTTCTCGAGAGACGGTATTTACAATCGTATTGCATTAGTCATCATAAGAGCTGGGTCAAGCGATGGCTTGTTTATATTTTTCCTGTAAGATTGTGTAAATAAGACAGCAGACGATATTTCTGGTGACAACGCCTTCTCAGATTTTCCTGTAAAACCTACACACAATTTTGTATAGTCGTAGACTATATATTTCTATCTGGCGATCATCTGGCGTAGGGTTTGCAATGCCAAAGCTTTTAATGATTCCCAGGATTTTAGTGGCTCAAATATCGGGATCCTGGGAGGGATGCTGGTATATTTTATATACCTTATATTTTGTCTTAGTCAAAAGTAATTAAATTTTCTGCATTCCTTATCCAACTTAAATTATCAAGAAATAATACCAACACAGGAAAATATACGTAAAACTAAGCACTTACAAAAATATTCTCCATATTTTTAGGGCAGGAGGTGCGCCATAAGAATAACTGTCAAATCCTACTATTCGGTTAGACAAGACTAGTTCAGGAGGTGGCGGTGGGTGCTGTTAAATAGTTGTCTTCCCTCTATTCTAATAGTTCAAAATTAAGGGTGGCTATGCGCAGATTGCCCTTGCGCAGCTTTACGTGAAAACAAATCAACAAGAAATCTATGACTAAGAAGGTTAAAGATAAAAAATAAATAAATTGACTAAATAAAAACTGTAAACAAAGAATAAGAAGCAGCGTTTATAGATACCATTCATATTTAATACTTAAAGTATTAGTTAGTCAAATTTAAAATGCAATTGTACGTTTAATGTGAATTCGATACTCCAATATAGAACTGACGAATCAAGCTGTAAAAACTAATTGGCTTTGCTAATTATTTTTTAAGTTTAAATTTTAAAAAGACTTACTACTTCATTACACCATATTAGAGTCGTTATTTTAAACACACACACACACACATATATATATATATATATACTAGGTTTAAAGAAGTTCAGTAAGATATACAAGTGACAAGGTGGGTTTCTTGTGAGAGTTAAGATGAAACCAGTCTGATTTTATACAAAAGATGGACATTTTTATAAATCTTGAAATATCTTAATGTTAAATGTAGTAATGACTGAAAGGGTTTTTATACAATAGAGAAAATGGCATGATGACATACTATAATACATTGTTAAGTGTAAACTAGTCTGACAATATAAATATGATGGGAAATGTTTCTAAACAATATTTAAACTGATCGTACTAGATGTACTTCCACAGAGTCCCCGAAACTGTTCTGTTTCAAGAGTAAATAAAACCAAAATTAAGAGTAACATTTTTTTATTGCTTTTGAAGTTCATGTGTCATGCTGTGTTGTAGCCTACAGAGTGCATAATCCTTCTCGTTGTTCTTGGCATGCGCACGTTTTACTGACATTACGACAATACAAATTGCAACGTTAAGCGTCCTTTATATGACGTCATTATAGTGTATACTGACTGACTGACAGACAACACCACACTACTATAAAGTGGTGTGAGTGTTTAAAACAGGTGACCTCTCCATGTGACCTTAGGCCCTCTTTCGGGGAAATAACTTATCGTTTAGTGAGTCCAAAACGAATGGGTTCCATGTTGTTGTTTTTTGTCTCCATCTGCATACCAAATTTGAATGAAATTCAATAACCCCCCAGTGGCACAGCGGCATGTCTGCGACTTACAACGCTAGAAACCGGGTTTCGATACCTGTGGTGGGCAGAGCACAGATAGCCCATTGTGTAGCTTTGTACTTAATTACAAACAAACGAACGAAATTCAGTATAAAAGTAATATTGAGCAATAGTGTGAAGCTTAACGAAAATTGTTCTATTTACAGAAACAGCAGAACATTTATATCTATTTTTCAATACCCGCAAGAAATTATTTTTGAAATAAAGACTATAATATTATGTGTTTGAGTTGAAAAGACTATTTCTTTTTACAATAATTTCACACTAGAGGGTGCTAGTTAATTAATGCACACAAGAGTAAGTGTTTTCTTATAGCAAAGCCACATTGAGCTATCTGCTGTGCCCACCGAGGGTAATCGAACCTCTGATTTTAGCATGGTAAATCCAAAGACTTACCGCTGTCCCACCAGGAGACTCACACAAGAGATCGGGGATCAAGAACTAAATTTGATGTGCACTTGAGTTTTAAAATAAGCTTTCACGTAGAAGAACATCGGGGGTAGGGCTGTTGAATGACTACTCCAATGTTCTAAAGCGTCTAAATTGTCTACTATCTTCTGATTTAAAAAAAAAAAACCTGACTTTGTTTTTACTCTCTTAATTTTTATATAATTTCGTTTTATAAGTTTCATTCAGGCTAAAATGTATCACTTAAGTTTTCTGTGTAGAAGAAAGGTACACATTTTCTTTGGAAAAAGACTCCATCCAACTCTGAATATGATTCGTTTTCTTCTTAGCATGTACTAGTACCGTCTATTATGACAAAAAAAAACTTGAGTAGTATGACTAATTTAAAATATTTTGGAAAGATACTCACTTCCTTTTTTTATGATTCTATGCAAGATTGGCGTAGTTTAATCACGTTTAGAGCTCCTACAAACGAAATGTCTGACGTATACACTGTTTTAACAGATTACCGAGCACGAGAAGTTCTGGCTATAAAACACGACTAAGTGCCCTACCCACTTTTTGTATCAAGTTTGTTGCGAAACCTAATTATCCAGCGAACCCATGCAGATGCCGTGGTTCTTGCTGTTCTTCTAACGTCTGAAGAAATGTCTCCTATCGCGCATGCGCATTATGTAATAATTTTAAAACTCTCCGTACTCACTTCATCTAGCAGATAAAGTCGGCCTTTAGAAGACATCCTTAGTGTGTGGTAGACATGTGGTTGATTGTAAAGGTAAGTTTTTATATCTGGTTGCTGGGAAGTTTTTACTATATATTATAAAGTATATATAAATTTTAATAAAGTAAAACTTGTACGACTTCAGCAATTTTTTGGAAAGTAGATAAACGCGTGAACAGGTGAGCTTTATTTGGGCTAGATAAGAAGTTTAAGGTAATTTTAACATCAGGAGAAACTTGATAATTAAACACCATAAAAATTAATTTACTAGTAAAGCGTTGTTCACAAAGTTAGCATTTTAGGGTGTTTGGAACAAGTTGTTCTTTGCACTTTTTCGGATACTCAGTTAATCTTGAATAAGGGCCCGGCATGGCCAGGTGGTTAGGGCGCTCGACTCGCAATCTGCAGGTCGCGGGTTCGAATCCCCGTCACACCAAATATGCTCGCCCTTTTAGCCGTTGGGGGCGTTATAATGTGACGGTCAATCCCACTATTCGTTGATGAAAGAGTAGCCCAAGAGTTGGCGGTGGGTAGTGATGACTAGCTGCATTCCCTCTAGTCTTACACTGCTAAATTAGGGACGGCTAGCGCAGATAGCCCTCGTGTAGCTTTGCGCGAAATTCATAACAAACTAATCTTGAATAAAAACGTCAGTTGTTAATACTGTCGAGATGAACTAGTGTAGTGTTGGTAGGCATACGCGAAAACACCGATTAATCAGTAGCTAAACTTTAGTAATTAACTTTGATTGTTTTAATAAGTAATGAAATCAATTGAGGCGTAAGTGGTTAATAAAAAAGGATCTTATCTGTTCATATCTTCCCAATGTTTCGTAATTGTCTTAGTTATTTGAGAATTTAATTTGGCCTTCGATCTAAATATATGCAAACTAATATGATGTTTTAATTAATACTTTACTGTCAAGTACAGAGTTGAGTAGGTTAATATTAAAACAATTTTGAATATACAGATCAACAAGTCACATGATAATAAAGTCGAGGTATTAGAATGACATTTTATCATTGTTTGATTTTTCGTATGTAGTGTGATGCCCCCCCCCCCTCCAATAAATTGATCGAATTTAGGAAGGGTAAGTAACAGCCCCTTTCGACACAAAATATTCATACACTCAGACCATAAAGATGTGTTCATACTGGGATATTTCTTGTACTTAATGGTATCGGAGGGTTGATAAACTTGGGGCACCAGGATCATCCAGAAAGAGATCCGAAAGAAGTTGTACTCTAGATGTGGTAAGCAAAGTGCAACATTTATAACAGGTTAGAACACACACAGGCCAATGGCAAAAGCGGTCTACGAGCCCCAGGCAATAGCACGCGACATAATCAAGAAGGATCTCCGTATGGAAAGGAAGCCAACAGAGTATGGGTTCACCAAAATAAGGCTTCCAGTCATACATCCTGTTCAGCCGTCGCATATTTCAAACAGCTGGAAAATGAAACGAGTATTCGTGCTATTTCCAACAAAGACATACCAGTCAAGTTGTCGGACTGGACGCCTATGGATTTCTGTACTACTGACTGGTTTAAACGAGCGTTTGGAAACCGACGTCCTCCGATTATAGAAAGTTACAGAGAGGGGGTGTACTTTGGACATATCAGCCATAAGACAGAGCCTTATAAAATGTAAGCTACGTCTCAGGGATATTGTCAAGACGTACCACTATCAGACAGAGCATGACCGGACGTGACGACACGGACTGTAACGACGTGGCAAGGCTCCAAGTTCGTTTTAGTGTAACGTATTCGACCTCTTTATATGTGAACAGAAAATTATCTAAATACAGTGGAACAAATACTTTCACATAAACAAACACATTTTTTTAAACTTCTATAAAAATTAGCGGAAGTTCTTAACCATTTATAGATAACATTATAACATAACTAAAGATTGGTCTTAACATGAAAACCAATCTAAAAGTAATTTAAAAGAGTTTCTTTATTCATGATTTATTTCTAATTTTTCAACTTAATTTGCAATGTGATTTTGTTTTAATTAGTAATTTTCAACGGTTAAATCATTCTTTATTAGCGTAATACTGTTTTTGTTGTTAATATATGTTTCTTTTCCTGTTTCAGTCCGGAAATGGCACAAGTACCCAGTCTTCTTCATTCTGACACGTCATAATGGTACAACGAAGGCTGACATTTTCGTGATGAAAAGTTTTTATCGAATAAAGTGGTAAACAAAGGATAGAGACTAGCTTACAAAACCTGGGTCTTGGTTGTTTACCATTGTAGTTATGTTTTTGAACGAAATGAATCCTGATGGTAAAAAGAAAGTATGATTTAAAGCTAAAATACGTGATTGAAGTATTGAAGTATTGATACCTTACGAACTACACTTTTTCAGTAATGTACTGGATTATGATTCTCAAAAAACGGCACTTTTAATATTTGTCTACTGAAATATACTCGTGGTTGGAAAATAAGAGATTCTATAAGTGTTAATACAAACTTTGAAATAGACATTAGCGCTTAAGTACTGAAAGCCGCTGCTTATGAAATTCAAAATGTTTTCGTCTTCACTTTTTATGTGCAACGTGCTGTGTTTAATTGCACTGATTAAGTTATATTTAAGTGCTAATCGCACCATGAAACATGCTGTATTGAATGTATCTGTGCAAAATATCCGAAATTATGACACTTAAGTTATTAAAATGAATAATTAAAAAAGTAAAACAGTTCAAAATTAGTTTTATTCTTCACTCTAAGTAAAATGACAGTTACGTACTCTCTGGACGTTGCCGATGCTCGCCTTCTTGGATTCGCTAAGTTGCTCTTCAAATGGCGAGGTAGCATCTACAAACTTTTGTACAGAGAAATCATTATTTTTTGCGTGACGTATTTCATTCTCACTTTACTCTACCGGTGCATCTTAACAGAGGAACAGAAAATGTAAGTTTATTTGTTTTTATTAGAATTTAAAATATCAGTAACAGATTTACGAGATAAAAATAATTAAAAACTAAAATTCAGTTTTTACTTCTATTAAAGGCTAGCTATATTGATAATACACTTAAATTTACCAAAACAAATGTCATTTTCTTCATTCATATGACTGGGTATGCAAACAATACGTTTCAGTGTTCGAATGGTACAATTTATGACCATTGTTTGTTTGGAATTAAGCACAAAGCTACACAATGGGCTATCTGTGCTCTGCCCACCACAGGTATTGAAACCCGATTTCTAGGACTGTAAGTCCGCAGGCACACCGCTGTGCCACTGGGGTGCAAGTTATGACACATGATTAAATAAATACAACTACGTTATTAAGAGAACTTGTAAAGTAATGGAATACGTAATCGGTTTAGGAAAACTCTGTTGTTATTGCCTATACATATAAAGAGGAGAGAAACTCGCAGCTTTACGTGTCACACATGTAAACTGTTGCCCAAATATCGAAAACGACAACTTGAAATTGTAAATGTTTAACAGACATTTTTTGTCAATCAATATTTAATATTTTCTATAAAAGAAAGTAATTACTTTCTCTCGTTACAAATAACTGAATGTCATTTTGTAAAGAATACTATAAGTTAATGCCCTTTTGTAAATAATATTATAAGTTAATGTCCTTTTGTAAAGAATACTATAAGTTAATGCCCTTTTGTAAAAAATATTATAAGCTAATGTCCTTTTGCAAAGAATATCATAACTGAATGTCCTTTTGTAAATAATATCGTAACTGAATGTCCTTTTGTAAAGAATATTATTCACTCTCAGAGATCATTAAACAGAATATTTCTTTTGTTATGAACATTAGTGACTTTCAATGATTAATACTTATGAATTTTTTTACCTAAAGGATTATACTTATTACCAATAATTATAAATTACAACTCAATTTTCTCATGAAATGAACACTATTTACTTTTAGTGACTAGTAGTATTTTTCATGTAATGGACACTACTTAGTTTAATGTTATATATTACAACTTTATCAGCCCGACCCGTCAGAAAATGACGGACTGGAGTGTCATAAAAGAGAAATCCGCAGAACATATTTATTTAATGACGTCATATATCATAAAAATTCCAGTTTAAACGCCGAAAGAAGATGAAGCACCCAAAAACCAATAATTTTAAGATTTACAATAAAATTCTATCACAAAGTTTAAAGCTGAAAGTTTATTTTAAATACCATCATTAGTTAAGACTAATAGCAAAACGTTTGGGAGAAATAAGAAAAAAAAAGATGTTTTATCAAAAAAGTAATAATAAAACTAAAAAACTTCACGAAAACCTAACACAAGCATACGAATTATGGTCACTAACCTCTCACTTAGATTTTTTTAAATTTCGCCCAGAACTTCGAAATGTCTACATCAAGCTAAGTATATGGATAAACTAAAACGTAAAACGATCTAAAGTGGAATTCAAACCAGTCTTCGTGAACGTTCGAAGTATTATATAGATGCTTTTGACAACAATATCAGGCCACAGTTTTGTTGCTAAGCGACACAAAAGGCTCAATGCGTCGTCTGTCTTTCAGAGGACAAGTCAGTGATTGTGGTGCTGTACAGGAAAGAAGTGAGGGGGTATGTTAAGGATATCGTGTATTGCACACCTAGAGCAAACATCACGGAGCTATGGACAAATATAACGGACCCCCGCCATCACTGTAACTGTGGACTGAAATCAATGGTTATTAGATAAACTTGTTTGATTGAGTAATTCACATTATTCACATTCAATGACCACTTCTTAGCATATATTTATCATAATGGACTGTACTCATATTCAGTGATTGTAGAACTTTATTTTGATGTATCATGACCATTATCCTATTTAAGTGATTATAAAGTATTATAGAACCATTTTTTTATTGAATGATGTGATTACAAATTACAACTTTATTTTTTTCGGTAATGGACACTACCCATTAAGTGAGAATAAAATAAGCAATACTATTTGACTGTGGACCTCAAACTTGTTTTATTTTATAGAGTATTGATAATGTTAAAATTTAATTCTATATCTCGGCATTTTGTTTTCTTATTAATTTGTTCTTATACTACAGTGCATCACATGATACCAAATTTTGGATGCCAGTATCACATGGTACCAGATCTTGCATGACAGTATCACATGATGTCAGATCTATCACAAAAGTATCACATGACGCCAGATTTGACACGACAGTGTCACATGATGCCAGATCTGTCACACAAATATCCCATGACACCAGATTTGGTACGACAATATCACATCATACCAGATCTGTTACAACAATATCACATCATACCAGATCTGTTACAACAGTAACCCATGACGCCAGATTTGGAACGACAGTATCACATGGTGCCAGGTCTTGCATGGCAGTATCACGTGTCAGACGTTTTCAATGAGCTACTAGTTTTGTTAATGAAATGCCCATTTCGAGAAAAAGGAAAGATATTTCTTTTCATTCAATAATGCATGAAGAGGATAACAAATATATCTTACGTAAATCTTACAAACTAACTAAAAACTGTTTTTATTGGATGATATTGGTAATCTCAACCTGAACGTCACTTTTTGTTCACGTGAACTAAACGGCCAGATCAGATGTCTGGTGTTCAGATACAGCAATATGTAACTGTATTAATAAAATGTTACAAACTAGTACATGCTTGTTGAGTAGTATAGTATAACGTGATAGATGTAAACTGTTACACTGGTACTCTGTTGAGTTATATAGTATAATATGATAGATATAAGCTGTTACACTGGTACTCTGTTGAGTTATATAGTATAACATGATAGATATAAGATGTTACACTGGTAATCTGCTTGTTGAGTTTTAAAGTATAACATGATAGATGTAAACTGTTACATTGGTACTCTGCTTGTTGAGTCGTGTAATACAACATCATAGATGTAAACTGTTACACTGGTACTCTGTTGAGTGTTATAGTATAACATGATAGATGTAAACTGTTACACTGGTACTCTGCTTGTTGAGTAGTATAGTATAAAATGATAAACGTAAACTGTTACATTGGTACTCTGTTGAGTTTTATAGTATAACATGATAGATGTAAACTGTTACACTGGTACTCTGCTTGTTGAGTAGTATAGTATAAAATGATAGACGTAAACTGTTACACTGGTACTCTGTTGAGTTTTATAGTATAACATGATAGATGTAAACTGTTACACTGGTACTCTGCTTGTTGAGTAGTATAGTATAAAATGATAGACGCTCAACAAGCAGAGTACCAGTGTAACAGTTTATCTATCATGTTATACTATACTATGTAAATTGTTACACTGGTACTCTGTTGAGTTTTATAGTATAACATGATAGATGTAAACTGTTACACTGGTACTCTGTTGAGTTTTGTAGTACAACATGATAGATGTAAACTGTTACACTGGTACTCTGTTGAGTTTTATAGTATAACATGATAAATGTAAACTGTCACTGTTGACTCGTATAGTTTAACATAATATACGTATATATGTTTTGTTTTCAGAGCATTTGAAAAGTTCTCCATCTACTGTGAAACTTTCACCAACCTCATTCCACTGTCCTTTGTCCTTGGGTTCTATGTGGCAATAGTTGTGGGTCGATGGTGGCAACAATACATGTCTATTCCTTGGCCAGACAAGTAAGTTTACATCTCACATCTTTTTTGGAGAGAACTTTTTGGTACACATATATTTTTCTAATTTGTAGTGTTTATATTTTGTTTTTTGCAGGATCAGTATGCTTATTTCAGCTTATGTCCACGGTAATGACGAGAGAGGTCGCATCATTCGCCGTTCCCTTGTTCGTTACCTGAGTCTGCTGTCAGTTCTAACTTTCCAAACTTTGAGTACTGCAGTTAAGAAAAGGTTTCCATCACTGGATCATTTAGAAGAAGCAGGTTTGTAAGAGTGTTTTATAGAATTAAAAGGTTGAGCCGTATTCTACTCATTATTATTATTATCATTGGTTGTAGTAGTAGTAGTATATGGTTAGCTGTATTGCGTATTTTAAACCAGAGGTTCTTAAATCATCAGGCTTGTGTACCACTTTTTGTTTTTAAAGTACAAACCTAGGCCTAATCGAAAAACACACACACGGAAAAACTTAACAGTTTAACACTTAACCGTTAAAGGGAAAGATGCCATTTTTTTATGTTGCAATTACAGAATATGTGGTACGAGTTTCGTCAATTTGAAGGGAAGAAAGCACTGGCGAGTCTCTGCAGGCGGAGGGCGAGCCTATGAGTTAGAATATTGTGTATATGTACGCGGAAAGCGCAAATTGAGATTATTACAAATTACATATTTTTTAAATTGATTTTTTAGCATTCAACCGAGCACCAGTGGTACGTGTATACCACTGTTTGAGAACCCCTCTCTTAAATCCATAAAACTTAGAGATGTGTTACAGTTGTAACTTTTTTTTAATGCAAATAGGCCTCTAGTCTGAGTTTTTTTCTATAAAGATTAGCTAACAATTCCTTCCTGTTTCCAATGCCAGTTTGTCTCAGACGTACGGAACGTCTCACCTGTTTATCGACCATGTGTTTGCATGAGATAGAATTAGCGTCAAAATATGTGATACAAAACATGGGGAAGGGAGAATAATATAGCTCAAACTGAATGGAAGGTTCATTACATAATCCTACACATTGCTAATATTAGTATTTTGAAGTGTCACACAGTGACTACTGAGGGTATAAATAATGGTTAGAGACGGCTTGAATGGGTAATGAAGAAAAACTTTAATATAAGTTTAACATAACAGCAAATGTACAACAGGTACAAGATGATAACAAAACCTTGTCGAAACGTTGTACATTTGCTGTTATGTTAAACTTA